ATGTGGGATCTTCCCGGACCAGGGCTCGAACCTGTGTTCCCTGCATTAGCAGGCAGAGTCTTAACCACTGCGCCACCAGGGAAGCCCTATTACTGGCTTTTAATCTGTGTTTTCCAGATATAAGGAAACCTTTAGCCTCAAGCTAATTATGATTTACTGCAACTTGGTAAATTATACCTTTTTGAGCAGAGTTGAAAGATCAATCTTTTCTCTCTACTGATCCCTTTAGAAACTGGAAACTCTTAGGTTCCCAGCAGAGTGAATAAGGAAGGTCACCTCCTGACAGGTGCAGGAATCTCAAGATATTGTGAAGACCTCAAGAAGCGAAGAATTCATCAAAATCTATAGACAGTGCAGGCAAAATCTGTGGCAAGCCCTTGGCATGGCTTTTCTGGCCTTGAGAATCCTTTTAAGAGCACAATCTGAGGTTCCTCAAAAAAAGTTAAAGCACAGCTAATTTAAAAGAGCCTGTGTCATCAACTACACTTATGTGAAAATCAGGACAAGTTTATTGAAACCAGACTTATTTTTCAAACCAATTAGTCTTAATGTGGTTATATTTGATGAAAATGAGGGTAATTTTAGAGAGAAGAACATTATGTTTCAGTGGATATTAAATTCTAGTTTTGTTAACTGAGGTCTGTATTTATTTATTTTTTATAGGGTCTTTTTTTAAAATTTATTCATTTAATTTATTTATTTTTGGCTGCATTGGGTCTTCATTGCTGCTCGGTCTTTCTCTAGTTACAGGGAGCAGGGGCTACTCTTCGTTGCAGTGTGTGGGCTTCTAATTGCAGTGGCTTCTCTTGTTGTGGAGCACGGGCTCTATGTGCACAGGCTTCAGTAGATGTGGCGCTCAGGCTCAGTAGTTGTGGCTCGCAGGCTCTAGAGCGCAGGCTCAGTAGAGCATGGGGTTAGCTGCTCCGCAGCATGTGCGATCTTCCCTGACCAGGGCTCAAACCTGTGTCCCCTGCACTGCCAGGCAGATTCTTAACCACTGCACCACCAGGAAAGTCTGAGGTCTGTGTCTAGTATCTAAGACTCACCTCCCAGGTAGCTCCTTAGTGTTGTGTTACATTATTGTAAAGTGTAATTGAAATACCGAAAGGACACTCTAAGTTTCTTTCTGAAGCTTATCACAGCAATCTATCCTTGGATAAAAATCAGATGCCTCGGGCTTCCCTGGTGGCGCAGTGGTTGAGAGTCCGCCTGCCGATGCAGGGGACACGGGGTCATGCCCCGGGCCGGGAAGATCCCACATGCCGCAGAGCGGCTGGGCCCGTGAGCCATGGCTACTGAGCCTGGGCGTCCGGAGCCTGTGCTCCACAACGGGAGAGGCCACA